GAACGGCCGGAAATGTCAGTCCCTAGACATGCCGAGTGCGGCCACCCATCTTCCCATCTTTGAGGGTTACTCATAAGGCTCAATGCGCCCGAAATCAGGACTGCCCCGAGTTCCCCTAATTTTTGCTGCCTGGTCATACGAGACTACCATCAAAACACGGATTTGTCCCTGAGCCTAAGTCCCAAAACTGCAGATCTCAGGCGGCGCACTGCTTGTGGCCGCCTGACAGTTAGCCCGGACCACTTCTCGACGCCCCCGTCGAGCCCCTCGCAACTTATGTCAGACGAAGCGGACGAGCTTCAGGGTGATAGTCCGTAAAGGACGCCCACATCGGCGTTCAATTGTCTTAGACTTCAGTTTGTTATGAGTCCTGGGGCTAAGAAGATGCTTCTTGACTCTCCTGTTTCTTTTGGTTTTTGGCCCCGGCACGATCCTCTTTCTTTTCTGTCCTTGCCCCGAGAAGGGTGTTGTCCCTCCAGTACGTTTAACCCGAATTCTCCGTCCAGCTTGCTTGGAGACGAATAAACATCTCTTCTCTCTTCCCAAAGCTATCCCTTTGACCTTTCCCTTCTCTGTTCTTTTCCTTTTCTTAGAACTCTCCCCTGCCTCGAATTGCCTCAAGGGGGCTCGATCCTCCATTATGGCTTTCCCTTTCCCTATCGGATTCGGTACTAGCCCGGACCGTGACGTTGTCCGCCCATATCGCGTATCGAAAAAATCGTGGCCAATCACTGTCCTTACCCTTGCACCACTTGGACAGTGACGCTGTCAGAGTCTGGTGTCCCCTCTCTACTGGGGAGTTCGAATGTGGGTGATAAGCGGTGGCTATCGAAACTCTGGCACCGGAAATCCTAAACACGCTCTGAACCTCGTCGGCTAGGAATCCCGCCCCTCTGTCCATCACTTTCTTGCTGACGCAACCATACCTAGATAAGTACTATAGGACAAAGTTCTTTACTTCCTTTGCCTCCTTACTCCTGATAGGTCTACCGTCCACGAACCCAGTGAAATCGTCTCGTATGTTCACGACGTAGTTCATATTGCCTACCCCTCTCGGCATTTTCACTAGATCGATGTGTACCTTCTCTCCTGGTCCGGTCGGATAGGATGGATGAAGTGGCTCTTTGTATTTAACAAGAGCTCTCTTCTGGCACTCTTCGCATGTCATACAGTACCTCTCGACCTCCTTATATTGTCCTTCCCACCAGTATAGCCGGCGTATCTTTTCGTAGGTTCCTTTAACTCCCCTGTGTCCTCCGACTACCCCGTCGTGAAGTTCCGCAACTATCATCTGTCTCTCCTCAG